TGCCAGCAGTCTAAGAACTCTAAACATCAGAGACCAGTTCCTTTGACGCCACTTCCCGTTGAGGATATATTTACCAGATGGCACATGGATTTCTTAGAACTACCAATTACACCAAACAAAGACCGATACCTTCTATTAGTTGTTGACAGCTAATCCAAATGGTGTGAGGCTTTCCCGTTAAAGTCCATGGAAGCTACTGAAGTTGCCAGAGTACTTTTTGCCGAGATATTTGCTAGATATGTAGCACCGAGAACGCTTATCTCCGACAGAGGACAAAATTTTATGTCGAAACTCTTTCAAGCTCTCTGTGAACTTTTTGAGGTCACCAGACACTATATCAGTGCCTATCACCCACAGAAAAATGCAGCTTGTGAAAGAATGAACTCATTCATCAGTCAAACTCTACGAACATACTGCAACAAAGACCAGTCCGATTGGGTGAAATTCATACCAGCTGTTCTTATGGCATACAGATCAACACCTGCTACACAGTCGACAATGTTCTCATCCTTCCAATTGTTGTTTGGCCAGAAAATGCGCCTTCCTGTTGATGTTGCTCTAATACCTAAGCCATCCATGGCACAAGAACCAAAGCTTCATCTAATGCTTGTTCTAGAACAACTCAAAATGTGCAGAGAAATTGCTACAGAAAACATCAGATTACATCAACAAAAGTTCACCCAGCAACATGATAAAAATGCCCAGGAGCCAGATTTCATGGTTGGATCCAAAGTATGGCTGTACTGCAGTCATGTTCCCAAAGGAAAGTCTCCAAAGCTTTTACAGAAATGGGTTGGTCCATATTCAATCATTCATCAAGGACCAAACCACACTTTTAAACTCAGAAGAGACTCAGACCACAAAATTCTTAAGAGTCTTGTCCATGCTAAAAGACTGAAAGATTATCACAGCCCAGATGACAGACCTTACTACTTCTTACCAGAATATCAAGACGTCATTCGCAATCCTGAAGAAATAGTAGATAATGCTGAGGAGGTTCAGCAACCTCACAATACTGATCATCATGAACTCTCAGAGGATGAAATTGATGGGGACGATAATGTTAACGAGGACCACAGCATACCAGATGCAGTTCCCGAGCGACACAATCAACCATCCCATCCACAGGCATCGAAACCAAAGAAAAAACACGAAGAATCAACGCAAAACAATACGTCAAAGCAAAACAATACACCAATCAAATCCAAATTATTTTCTGCCGATCAAATTGAGAAAATTCTTGAGTACAGTTTGTATCAAGGTAAACCCATTTACAAACTAAAGTTCAAGGATGAATCTCAAACTTCATGGCAAGATGGCAGTCAAATTCCAAAAGAACTAAAAGACAATTTCCACTCCCTTTACATGCCAAGGGAAAGAAAAGAAAGCGACCAAGAAACAAGAAATTTTTTGACCAACAAGGATCCAATGCAAAAGAGCAAACAAAAAGTCATCGCAGCAATGATTGATCGGAAAGAAACCAACTTTGGCTTCCTTCTTTCTGATGATAATGGAAACTACCAGGCAGGTATAGGTTACAAACGTTCAAGAGAAGTTCCAGTCCATTTACTCAAAGCCTTCTTCAATAAATTAGATCATGATATTGCAGAAACTCGCAAGAAAACAAACGGACAAATAAACAGAAACATTTGCCAATACATTCCAATTTCTTCTGTCAATGCATTTCCAAACAGACCTACTTTCTTTTGGCATCACTTTACACCAGAAAAAGCCAAATGGTTACCAACTTGTTATTCTTCTGATGAGGGAATCCTTGCTTTCAAGATCAAACTTCGCAATCATGCAAAACTCTTTCACCATGATGCTGATTTTTAAATTGATTTTTACCCCATTTCATTTTTAAGCTTATCACATGATAATTTTTTTTCTCTCCTCTTTTTGACTTTCATTAATTTAGGCAATGTAGTATTTTTTCTGTGCCCTGTACTTCAGTGCTAGATAATGTGAGGCGCCGCACATTATCAAAAATTTCTAAGGACATAGGAAAAATATTATAACCCCATCTAAAAGTAAACTCCTTATTTTTCACCCTCTACCAATATTTTTAATACCTTTCCCTTTAAATAAATAAATATTTACAATTTCAGATCAGTAATATGCTGGATGGCATTTGAACACCTGTGAGTCATGAACCAGCTATTGTTTCTTAAATTGCTGAGGAACGGTGTAATGCTTCATTTCAGTAAAAATTTCTTATTACATTTTCTATTAATGTAAATCTGGAATCGTCAAATTTTACTCTTTCTCAGATCTTCAGTTATTTTCAAAATTTTCCATTTCAATTTACATAACAGTAATTTGTAGGTCAATTTCTTGTGTCACATGTAGATTTTAGCGGTTGTACTTTCTTGCCAGTTGCCACTCTTCCTGACTACAAATAATTTGTGCCTGATACATGTTTACTTTCCATAAGTTTGCAGGAAATCATTCTGATGAACAATTCTTTTCTCCTAGATCATCAAATTGTGCTATGATGGAACTCCTTGTATATCCACGGATGTCATAGCTGACTGTCAATTTTTGGTCATGATGGAACTCCTTCATAAGGATGTTATGACTTCTGGCTCGTTACAATGTCACCATGATAGAACTCCAAATTGTGGATGTCATGGTGATCATTTCTCATGATGGAACTCCCTGCTGGGATGTCATGATTATTGACTGCTTTTACATCATGATGGAACTCCCTATTGGGATGTCATGATAACTGCAGCTGAATCCTGATGGAACTCCCCCCGATGGGATGTTAGGATTAAGTGCAAGCAGCCAACAAAGCAAATTCAAAAGAAGCTCAGAAGCAATTATCAAAGGACATATCAAAGAAACATTTCGAAGAACTTTTCCAATGCAAATATTCAAATCCAGAGGTGTTTCAAAGGACAATTCTGATTTCAAAATGTCAGAATGAAACATGGAACTTTGTGAACTATATCATTGTGCTTGTTGTGCAACAATTTATTTCAAAGGAACCTTAAAAGGAACTCAGAAGCATCATTCAAGAGAATAATTTTCAATGGACACTTTTACTAGCATGCTTATTTGTTTTCAATGTTTATTTCATTGCATTGTACATGCAAGTCTAATAATCATTATTTTATCTTTTAAAAAGATTTTATGATGGGCCCTTGTACATATTATGTAAAAACATCATATTGCATGCATTCTAACAGAATTCCTACCAGATTAGGAAGCTCTATTTATGTAAATATTTTTAATTCATTTCTGTTCTTATAAATGTTCATTAATATTTTCTGACCCTACAATACCTTTAGGTTAATGATATTTTCTTTAAGGAATTTAACCTGGTAAGGCTATCAGATATTTTGGAATATATATGTTGTTCTGACATTTAAAAAAAATATGTAGGGTTACATAAACAATGAAACTTTTTGAACCCATGACAAGATATAACTAGATATTCTAAGATTTCAGGAGAAATCTTCTGGTGAGGTAGGGGGAGCATTTCACCAGTGAAATAGCTCCTATTTCACATTTGATGATAATTCTACATATATTTAATTGTTCTACTTAAATTAATAATTTGTCATTTCATGCATCAAATTCATTTACTTTGATAATTCTTAATATCTGAATTCATTTGTCAACAAATAGTGAAGCTAAACCAACACAACATCTGGCTAATTCTTAATCCCCTCAAATATTTAGTGCTTTCTTAGTAATTGTTAATTATTGACACTCAAACTGCCTGATGGCAATGGTCACTGATTAGGTGTTAGGTTAATTAAATAAACCTTTTTTGACTTCCTGGCATCAAAGGATGACACCTGAGTAATCTATAACTGTTTAAATTGTTTATTTGATAAGTTCTGCCTATGGCTATTTTCACATTGAGTAATTCCTTACAATTAGTTAAAAAAATATATATAGTTGAGAATACAGAGAGTTAAGAGAGATCTAGAGTGACAGAGCTAGTGAGCTGATGTGTTAAGAACCATGTAGGGAATTAGACTTAGAAACCTTTATTATTTTATTTCTCTATTTAGGCCAACTTTATCTAAATTTTAGTTAGTACTTGGACTTGCATATTTATGTGTTATGTTGTTGGAATTCATCATTACTTTAATAAACTCTCATTGTTAACCCTACAATTTGGACTTATGTGTTTCGTAACATTCCCCAAACCATTAAGTAAATTCCCCAAATGAACGTGCACCGCCGAATTATGTCTAAGACAGACAAGCGCGCGGTCACAGCTGTAATAACGTGTCCAGCAGGACTATAGTAACATGAAGATGATGCATGGTTATGTTTCATTCCCATTTTTTCTTGTTTCAACCATGACATTGATTACAAACATGTCCTGCTATATTAAAGGGTATGTTACGTTTTACATGTGAAAGATGACAGGAATTAAAAAAAGTATTGGTGGGAATCTGTTTTTTGTAGTATAAATGTGTTATGATTTTAAGACTCTCCTTAATTATAAGGATTTCTAAAAAGGGTAATTCTGATCTGCCCTTTTCCATCGTAAATTGAATAGACTGGTGTAGATTGTTAAGAATAGTATGAAATTCTTGTAAATCTTCATTTGATCTATTCCAGAAAATTAAACAATCATTGATGATTTTTACTTTTAAAAACCCGAGAACTAGGGTACATGTAGCATAGGTTGGGCAACTTTCTTACCCATTGCTGTTGCCTTCATTTCTATGAAAAGAAAAATGTTTATTCTCTAACACTTTTTTATTTCGTTGCCATTAAAGTGTTTGGGAAATCTTTCATTAATTCGATTATGGTATTTGTCGATCCAAAAAGCGATTGCTTCTAGTCCAAGTGTATGCGGTATTTTGGTATAGAGGCTCGTTACATCAAAACTAACCATTTCAGTATGAACTGTAATGACTGTATGTCGAATGTGGCCTATCAAATTCAAATCATCCATCATAGAGGCTTTAGAAGTATATCCAACAAGTTACTGATTCATTGTAAATAATTAACTGAACAAATTTTTTTTTCAGAGAAAGGAGAATGGCCGAACTAGATTTGCCAAACTCAAAATGGCAACAAACGATGTGTTAAATCAGGCATACAGAGATATACTAGAGATGGAGGTTTCACCTTCTGACATTGAGAACAAAGTTAGAGCGTCACGTGTTTATAAAAGATTGCGCCCAGAAAGAGCATACCTTGAAGGATGCTAAACATTCGGGATATAAGAATTTTGACATCTCATTAACATACACATTGATCAGAAACATTTGCAAAAAGATCCCTAAACCGACAAAAGGAAAATGGGGAGAGGAGCCTGTAGCTGGAGAAGTGACCGTGGGAGATGATATTGAGAGAATTAGGTTAATCCGGAACAGTTTAACAGCACATGTAAGCTCAGCCTCTACCTCTCAGAAAGAATACAATGACACCTGGTCAACAATGTCAGATATCTTCCAAAGATTGGAAACCTTCACTGGAAAGAAATACCTGGATCAGCTTAATCTTATTCAAAAACTGACGATCAGAGGGGAAACTGAAACTGAAGATAATCCGATAGAAAAGACTAAAATGGTAAGTCAGCATGAAATGGTGAAAGCAATCAATTAAGTACTGAAACCATCAGTACTGAGGTCTGAAAGCAAACATGAAGTACAGATGTGCTATTATAATATTTAGTTATTTGTTACTCAAGATCTTGTTGCAATCAATTTTAAAACGAGACATTCAAAACACTGATGGTTTGAAGTTGCGTTTAAATGGGCATTTTGTAAGTTCTTTGGTATTTTTGATATATAATTGGATCTTATATTTTCTGACTTGTTTCATACCAATTGCTTTAATACTTAATTTGACAATGGAAACTTTCATCTTCCTGATCAATTCACAGGGCTCATGGCGGGTCGCGGGTATGTTAAGGAAGCATGTATATAAGTCATTTCTCGTGAAATATAGACTTTTTAAGATAAACTACCAAAACTGCTGATAAACGTAAACTGTTATTAACTATTGCATACAGATAAAAGAGTGTCTAACACAAAGACGTGCACCACCCCCACGGCATCACGTGACTTCTATTAAAAGCGAAATTTTCCTTAATAAAAAAGCTAATAGAACAACAATACCCCGGGGTTTGAAAATGTTTTTGATTAAATAATATAGTTGAAAAACATCTACTTTCCCCCAAAAGTGCTGCTAGAATCCCACTGTCCTGTCAGTAAAATAATTATGCCACATATTCGTACGAAATCTTACCCTACCTTTGAATTTTAATCATGTGAATCGACTTTAGTAAACCCACACTTAACTCGGGATGCTAGCAGCAATTTCTAATTTTATCAGAAGGCAATCTTTCTATTTGAACAAATCTCATGTTTTGCTTATTGTTGTTCTGTCGCATTATTTATGTCATGAATGACAGAGGAAAGGCCGACCGGGCTACGTATATAGCTTACTGTCTTCGAAATAGAATGTAATCGTTGAAATTAAATTAGCATACCTGTTAAATTTATTTAACTCCATATGGATTTCACACAATATTAACGATACTTCCTTTTAAACTTCATTTTACGTATCTCTGTACCTGCCGTATTAGCCGAATTCTCTCTACAAGACATTTTCAATTCCCAAGTTGATATACACGTATGACGTCATCGGTGGAAGATTTTCAATCAACATGACTGACACAGCAAATCAAAATAAAACCAATTTATTTGTCTTTATTGTTTACACGTTTCTATTCATTTTCTAGAGTTAAATGACATCTCTAAATGCCATCTCTAAATAATAATGTTACGAAGACTTGTGCTCTAAAATTGACGTCATCTTGCCACAACATAAGAAGAATTCAAGTTGATATACACCCCTGTGGTGTGACGTCATCGGTCAACAAGGGGTGCTTACTCCTAGGCAACTTCACACTTCAATTTCCATTTGTCTGTTTTTACACATATTTGCAAATTTCAAATTAAAACCATTTTCAAATTTTCTTTATGTGTTTACGTTTCTATTCATTTTCAGGAACTTTATTTTACAAATTGTTTTTAAACTAAGACCAGTGAAAATCAGGGCGGGGCCACAACAAGGAATTCAAGTTTTGCATTGAAACATATAGGAAAAATCTTCTTCAAAAGAACAACTTGGACCAAGAAATCTTAAAATTATTTGAAAGCACCTGGAATAGTATAGCTTCTTAATTGCTCAAATCATGACCCTGGGGTAGGGTTGTCAAACAATAGGTATTACAAGGGGTAGGATCTGGTGAGGAACACTTGGCCAAAGTGACTCAGGTAAGCGTTGTGGCCAATGGGCCTATTATTAACAATTCATCAGGGCCCACTCGGCAGGCGCTATATAGAGATCAGTCTGTCCATCAATTCCTCTACCTGTCCATCTGTCTGTCCGTCCGCCCGGGAACTCATGTCTAGAGCATATCTTCTCTCTCCTCGGCCCAATGTGGCTCATGCTTCTCTCACAGAGTGAAATTGGTCATAGGATGGGCAGTGTCTTTAGACGAAATTTTTAGGTCAAGGTAAACAGGTAAAAAAAAACCTTCTTAGCCCAGTCAGCCTCCAACTTTACTAATTGACTTGTGGTACGGAACAATTCTGATTGTCCTTCCATATTTTGATAGAGGATATGCAACTATTTTAAAGAGGATACATTTCAAAAAGTTTCTTTTATCATTTTTAGAGAAAAGTTACTTTTTCTTTAGACTCAAACACCTTCAAAATAAACCCCTTTTCAGCGACCTTACATTCTCATATTCATTGCTGAAAGCAGGGCCCTTGAGATGGCCACCATCTCAATGATATTTAGTTTTGCCTGACTACTCTATTATTTCAATAACCTCCATAAAAAAGATTTTTATAATATTTTCATATGGAATGCTACAGTTACATATAAGTCAGGATTTTTTTTTAAAATCTTAAATATGCTCATCTGCTGAATTTATTAAAGGTTATAAAAATTTTATATTTTTTCATTTAAGCAGGAAGAACTGAAAAAGCTTGCCAACAAAGAAGAAAGAACTTCAAGTCCAAGTATGTATCTTAATGCCAATCCTTACATCTGACTATGTTGAAATTATTATCAGCACAAGTAACTGTGATATTGTGCCATATTTGATTAACATTAACTTTTATTTTAGCAAACTACAATTTGTCATAACATTTATCTGTATACCATCTTAAAAATCTTTGGATTAACTTTGCATGTGTTAGTACCCAGATTTAGGTTCTGATTGGGTGCATGGTATTTTTCTGAAAACATTTCATTGCAGTCACTTTGCACAATTTCACTTTACATTATAAATTGTGAAATGTCAGGAATCAGGGGGCCATACTTTGCTAAGTTATCTGTACCTGAAAGTTTTTTAATTATACATTATCTAATCATTGAACAGTGATTGTAGAAAACCCAGAGGCGTGTACCTATTTTTTGGATGCAGTAATAGAAAAATATTTATTATTTGCATTGCTGAATTTTAGACCAATAGTGGTGTACACTATTGATTCCATATAAACAAAACCGTTAAAGGTAAAAAAAAAATAAAATATATGATCCAGTATAATCCTTATACTTTATTATTATCAAATGAAAAAGGAAATCAATACTGTACAATTACCCCCGAGGTCAGCGAGTGGGCCAGGTCGAGGGTCCTTTTTTAACCATGTTGAGCTCACATTACGTGTTGTCTCCCTGCAAGTGACCTACTCTAAACCAAACAGATTGAATGTATCATTATGAAGGATAATAATATAACTTTGCACACAAGTAGATTACACTAAGATACATAATTATATATATAATTATGTATATCGATTTTTGATTTCGATAAACGATGTTGCCTTGGTTACTAGGAATAGATAACCATGTCTGTGAAATATACTTCAAATACGCATTTCAAAACTAAACATAGTCTGATCATAGTACATGTATAATGTGGCATGCAAGTAGTGTACAGTGAGATACAAGATTATTATTCTGTTTATTACTATTATGAATTTTCAAGTCCCAACTACCACTTTTCCTTTCTCTGTTTTAAGTACCTGGTACAAACTAGTAGAGCTACAGTCTCGACAGAGACTTCTGGTTGTTTTTATTGATTTTTAAGAAGATAATAATTTAATCAAAAATTGTACATATATTTTCATTAAGTAAAAGTATAAATATCGATTGCAGCAGATCTTGACAACCCTAAAGAAGATCTTCTACAACACATGCTAACAGAAGAAACAACAGTACGACATGCAAGAGGACTTGTGGTTGGATGTGCTGGTGCTGGGAAAACAACACTCCTCTAAAGTCTTATGGGCAAAAGTGTCGAAGAAATAAAAGAAATAAAATCAACAAGAGGACTTCAAGTTTACGAACATATATTTACAGTGACAGATGGGTCTTTACTGGGTAAATGAAAGTTATTTTAATAACTGTTTTTATGTAAACGAGTGAATCATATGGATTTTATTCTATTTGTTGAATTTCTGTATGTAATCTTATTTAGTGTATAACCCGTGGTGAGCCTCGATGCATCAGAGGTTTTCCTAATTTCTGACTGGTTAATTATATTCGGCGATCATATTACAATTTTAGCGTCCCTGATGTAAACACTGTGAAAAAGCTCTGCAGATTTTTTAATAATTATCCAGTTTATTGACTTTCCATTCTATTTTCCTGGATATCAAAACTTGGAAAATGATATCGGATACGGATTAATTCAGGAAGGTAAATGTTTTAGCATGTGATGATTGCAAATTCGACGGATAGGAGCTGAACTGTGACCATTCACAGGGGCGCCGCCATGATGATAGGCTAATCGATCTTCTTTGTTTTGTTTGTTTTTATAAAACGTCTTATAGAAGATCCACGATCAAGAAAAACCGACCAATCCTTTGTAATACTGATTACTTTTATCGATGTAAGAAGGAAAGGACATATTAAATTAAAAAGTTGGTTTTGAGTGGAGCAATGTCGCTGGGGTTTCAGACACGGTGTGCTGATGAGAAAAAACGCACTAATGTTTTGATTTTAGGCCATAGTTTTGTTACACGACTGGAACAACTTATAGGACGAAGTGATGCATTTCAGGCGGATTTCAACCTGGGTCAGTGTGAAATCCGATGCTTCGGTTTAAGTGGGGGAAGAGTGGAAAATCTACTTAAAAATCAAGACTTACAGCACTACATAACGTCTTTCAAACCAGTGGTGATCATACTACAGATAGGCGGAAATGACATTTGTAGTGTATCTGCGAGACCAGAAACTGTGGCGTGTAATATTTCTGAGCTTATGGAAACTATGGGAAAGTTTGACTGCGTACAGGTCGGTGTTGTTTGCGAACTTTTCAGAAGAACTCGACCAAGGAATATTTCACCACAAATGTATGAGGAAAAGCGAAATATCATAAACAACATGCTACCTGTGTTACTAGAAGATACAAACAATAAGAAGTTTATGTTTTGGCGGCATCTTCGCTTAATGAACAGCCCTCTACACATTCTTAGTAGTGATGGTGTGCATCTATCTCCAGTGGGACAGAAAAAATTTTACAGAAGCCTCAGACTAGCTATTATGCATGCATTAGATTATGTAGTTTGAACAAAATGCATGCTCTTAGGTTAGTGATCCATTAAGAGTACTAGAATTTAACATTTATATGTTTGACTAAATATAAATGAGTATTATATTTTAACTGCATTAGATATTATGGATTCTTTAATGCTTATAATTAAATAAGAGTGTAAAGGAAAGGAAAGGATACTCAATTTCCTATTTTAATTATGAAAGACTACTGATTCAGTTTATATCCTGATGTTGATAGTCATATATAGATTATAGGAGATAAAGCAAGCAATTCATTAATAACAAGTTTGTTGTTTTCTAGGGTTACATATTGCAGTTTATGTTGTACATATACGCCATTGCACATGCCATTTAACCAAAGAGATTGGTGAACAGCAAAGGTAATATTTATAGGTTGAGTTCAGCTCAACGATGGGTTTTAATCAGTTACTTACAGAACAGTATTCAGTTATTTTACTGTTCATTATGTATTCAGTCATGTATTGGACTGATTAAGATTTACATACATTCATCTATTAGTCATGTATTTGACTGCTTTGAGATATTGATTGGAAAGTCCATAATTCAGTGCATATAATGTTATTCATTCATTTACGGCATAAGTTCAGGCACGTATTGTTTGCTTTGAAATCTATCGGACATTTATTTGTCTGCATTGAAGATTTATCAGACATGCATTTGTCTCCATCTCAAAATTTAATCAAACATGTATTTGTCTGTATTGATCATTCTCAGACATGTCCTTTTTGTCTTCAATGGAAGAGTCAGACATGTATTTGTC